AAAAGAGAGACAGAAATCCTGTCATTTGCAACAACATGGATGGAAACGGAGATTTTGACACTATATGAAATAAGCCAGATATAGACATGATCTCACACATATGTGTATTCTAAAAAAGATGATTTCATAGAAGATGACATTTAAGTGCAGATTACCAAACGCTGCTGAAAGATGTGGTGTATGGGGAAAGGTTGATCAATGGGCAGTAAGTTAAAATTACATATAATCAGAAGCTCTGAAGTACTACTGCAGAATGGTAACTATAGGTATGTATTATACATACTAAAAATTTAGAAGACTTTTGAAAGGTTCCACTGCAAAGATATAAAAAAAGCTTACAGGGAAAAAATATTTCAATATTTAACCTGGCTTAAATATCACACAGTGTATATATTGTATGGGATAGTACATTATCCCATTCTTATGTATTATGGTTTTGTACTCCAGCTAAGATTTTTAACAGCAAATACAAACAAAAAATATATATAATTTTTGAAAGAAATGAAAAATAAATTTTAAAAAAAGTCCTGAAAACGCTTAAGTTTCTTCCCATGGCGTAGTGAAACCAAGGGAATGAGTCATTCTAACCAAGTTTTTCACATGTACATAGTTCTAAAAAGCTTAACTCTCTTACTTCTGTTTGACTTCAATACTATGGTCTTACATGGAACTAAAAAATACTTATTTTGGTAATCAAAACTAAGCATAGGTTCTTTCTGTGTCTTTTCATCTCTGCTAAATAATTCTTTTGGGAAGGGGAGTACTGGAGATTGAACCCAGGGGCACTTAACCATTGAGCCACACACCCAGCTCTTTTTAAAAATATATTTTATTCAGAGACAGGGTCTTACTGAGTTGCTTACGCCCTTGCTAAATTGCTGAGGCTGGTTTTGAAATCATGATCCTCCTCTCTCAGCCTCCCAAACTGCTGGGATAACAGGCGTGCATGACCATACCTGGCTCTGCTAATTCTAACACATGTCCAAACAAATAGATGTCCTGTATACACTAAGGAAAGATGAAATGTGAAATAAAGCATATAAACCAGGAAAGGTACAAAACCCAACAATCCTAGTCTTTGCTTACTTCTGCTTTTCTTTCTTTTTAAAAATATTTTTAGTTGTAGTCGGACACAACACATTTTATCTATCAATCCATCTATCTATTTATTTATGTGGTGCTTAGGAATGAGCCCAGTGCCTCACACGGGATAGGTAAGTGCTCTATGACCTAGCTACAACCCCAGCCCTTACTTCTGCTTTTTAACTCTTTCATGGTCCCAATAAAATGTCTTTTAGTCACCAAAGCATGGTCAAATCTGGTCATCTGATTTTGCATGGCTCTTGAGCTATAATGGTCTTCACAGATGGTATATTTGATAGGTAAACTTAAAATTTTAGCTAAACTTAGAATTTTAACAGTTAAGAAAATTTACCCCTGAAAAGAACTTTGTTCTTCTCATTAGTAGACCTGTATCCAAAAAAATTATACTCAATTATTATCATCACTACATTTTGAATTTTGTCACAAAATTGTGTGGAAATATAAAAATGGGGAAAAAGGACATTTCTTAAAGTTGTTTGAGACACTGAGAAAAGTATTTAAAAAAAAAAAAACAATGTTCAAGAAATAATTTTTTGGCAGATGGGAATGGGAAAGACAGTGGGATGAATCAGACTTAACTCTCCCAAGGTTCACATGAATACACGACCAGTGTAACTCCACATCATACACAACAACAAGAATGGGAAGTTATACTCCATGTATATATAGTATGTAAAAATACATTCTACTGTCATGTATACCTAAAAAACAAATTAAAAAAAAAATTGTGTTTGAAGAAAATCTACATCAAAAAGTGAATACAAAATCTATGTAAAAAGTCCTTTGTCTCCCCAAAACCAAATGTGTATGTACATACATATATGTATGTATGTGTGTATGTATATGTATGTACTTATATATGTATGTATGTATAAAGGGGTAAAAACTTGTCACGTGACTATTAGGAAAACCCCAACAATGAAATCTAATTTTTCCATTGGTCCATTAAAAACAATTATTTAAAAACTACACGGAGCCAGGTGTGGTGGCACATGCCTGTAATCCCAGCAGCTCACAAGGCTGAGGCAGGAGAATCAAGAGTTCAAAGCCAGCCTTAGCAACTCCCGAGGTGCTAAGCAACTCAGTGAGACCATGTCTCTAAATAAAATACAAAATAGGGCTGGGTTGTGGCTCTGTGGTAAAGCACTTACCTGGCATGTGTGAGGCACTGGGTTTGATTCTCAGCATCACAAATAAATAAATAAATAAAGGTCCATCAAAAAGCGAAAAAAAATAATTACATAAAAATTAAGTCCTCTGACATTAGAAATATACTTCAATTTGCCTATGAGTCCAACATGATTCAAAATAAAAGGAGAAACACCCCATTATCTGGTTTGAATTTAAATTCATCCACCACTGTCTAACAAAACAAAGTATGTCACCACAACTTTATACTTTCATGAGTAAAAATTAGACACACACAGGGTGGAGATACATTAAGAACGAGCCACTGGAGCCCTTTCCTTTCACCTGCTGGGGATGGCCAGGGCCTTCTGTGATCTTCCCAATTTGCCTGGGGTTTTCAAAGATGGGCATTTTTTGCAGCAGCCTGGGAGTTAAGGACTGTGTGTGAGAGTCTAGCCTGGGTTAGGCGGGCTGTCAGGGCTTGGACTGGGAAAGCACATGCTCGTGAAACAGGAGACAACCTCCTGGCCTAGGTTCCTGCCCTCAAGCCATATGTTCACCAATGGAAAATGAACCCCAGCCATGTGATGTTCTCAGGTGTCTGAAGAAATAACTGTCTAAAAAGTACCTAAGGTACTTAACTCCCTGAGAAACATTTACTCAGGTCACTCAGAACTGCCTACTCTTCTTCAGCTGGGCTTAGCAGCTCCAATTACCATCTCCTTCAAGACAGAAAACGCTCTGCCTCATCACACTGCAATTAACCCACTTTGTTCACATCCAATCCTCGTGTGGAAGGATGTACAGCTCAGCTAGAGGCATAGTGCCACAGAAGGCTCTCCACTTGCACCAGTGCAGAAGCTGAAGAGAAGAAATTGCAGGAGTGTCAGTTTCTCTCAGGGCTCCAGGACCTCATTCTTCAAGAGGAACAACATGGCCATACAGGTTTCCCATGGCAGCGGGCACTGTGGCAGTGGGGTCTGTGTCAAAACTGAGGATTTTGCAGCTTCCTCTTACCACAATGGTACAAGAGTGTAGAGATGGCAGCTATGATCATGCTGGATTCTGGCCTTCCAGGATCACACCAAAGGCAGTCCCACAGATGCCAGGATAATGAGGATGAATACACCTTCACCATGTCCAGCAGTGCCCTGTGTTGGGATAGTAAGGATCTCCTAGTGGATGATCTGGATGTTCTGGCCACTCTGTTCTCAACCTGCCAGATCCCTAAGACATTCACACTAGAAAAGAACCACAACAGCATGGTACTGGTCACTCCCCAGAACTCTGCCATGGCTCCCCCATGCTAGTCCCACAATCCAAGCCAGGCAGAAACACCTCAGTGGAGCCAACCTAATGGAGCCACCCTAAGCAGAGATCTGTAGTCAGTGGAAATGGCAGACTGGTTTGTTACTGCAACCATCTCCATTTGCAGCATCTTTCCTGCAGTCGACAGCAGGAACTTTACCCAAGTCAGTGTGGGCCCAAGCTAAAGCTAAAATAATAAGTAGTAGTATAGGAGCCTCACATTTTGCTGACCCTCATCACCTGGGCCAAGGGAGACTTCAACCTTGTGGTAACTGACACTAAGGATGCAGACCTCTTCTACCCAGTCCTCAGCAGGTCCTTGTAGAAGTCCACCCTCCTAAGGGGGACAGACTCTGGGTACAGAGTCTTTAGGCTCAATTATGGTTCAAATCAGAATGCTTTACTCACTAACAAATCAAACCAAAGATTTTTAAAAGAATTTACATCAGGCCAAAATGGAGCCAAGCCTAGGTGGGTAGACTACTAAAACAAAATCAGAAATTCAGGATATATTCTAAACTTGAATCTCTTTGGTTGAAGTCTCAATGTCTACTTGAAGTATCTAAATTCCTGTGTCATTCATTTTCCACTGAGAGCATTCCAATTCTGTGTATCACCACTTCTGCCTGATGAAAGAGAACAATATCAATTCCTTTATGTTTGTATCCTGCCTCACAAAAGCTTTTTCTTATCCATTCTGTTGTTTAAGAGTTTGGTGAAACAAAACCTCACCTCTATTTCATGTGAGGCCCAAGGAAGTTAATAGAATTATTGGGTCCTGCAGTCATCAGAGGCAGAGATGACTCAGACTGGAGTCCCAGGGCTGGTTCTTTTATCCCTCCAAAAGCAAGCACTCCCCTGAGGCTTTGGAACTGAGGGTGGCAGAAATATTTATAAAATATGTCCATGCCCTTCACAGCTTGCATTCATTTGAGAAAATAAACACTACATGTAAAAGACAAGATGCTCCCCTCTCCCAAAAAAGCCACTGATGAGCACAATCAATTCATGACTAGTACATTTCCTTCAGGTGGTGCATTTTCTGAAGCATTCTACTCAAAATTATTTTGCATCAAGGTCTTCACAGTAATCACACCCTTAGAATTCCAGTCCAGAGGCCTTTTTAGAGGACAGTGAAACTTTTTCTGTTAAATGACAACTTTCTTGTATTTTTCACATTCGCAGCCTTTTTGTTCAGAGCAAATACTTACACATGGGTCAACTGAAGGCTTTTGCACATCTCTTCTATGTTCATTTATATGTATATACTGAACAAAATGACTGCAGGCATCCCCACATACTTAACATTAATACAAGTTCTCTCCACTGTTCACATTTGACAGAAAGTTCAAGAAAGAAGTCTTACCACAGTCTTTGGTCAGCGCTACTTTCCCTTGAGTTCTTTCATCTATGAGAACATAGTTGGACTGAACGAAAGCTTTCCCACACTGCTTGTATACATGGGATTTTTCTCCAGTATGTGTTTTTTCATGTATTTTAATATAACTAGAAGAACTAAAGGCTTTTCCACATTGCTTACATACATAGGGTTTCTCTCCAGTGTGAGTTCTTTGATGTCTGAGAACGTGACTGGATCGACTGAATGCTTTTCCACACTCCTTGCATATATAGGGTTTCTCTCCAGTATGAGTTCTTTCACGTCTTTTAATGTAACGGGAAGAACTAAAGGCTTTTCTATACTCCTTGCGTATAGAAGGTTTCTCTCTAGTGTGAGTTCTTTCATGATTTTGAAGGGAAAAGGAAGAACTAAAGGCTTTCCCACATTGCATGCAAACATAGGGCTTCTCTCCAGTGTGAGTTCTTTCATGTTTTCGAAAGGAACTAGAGTAACTAAAAGCTTTCCCACACTGTTTACAGACATAGGGTTTTAGCCCACTGTGAATTTTTGCATGGTCTCGAAAGGAACCAGAATAACCAAAGGATTTTCCACATTGCTGACACACATAGGGTTTTTCTCCAGTGTGAGTTCTTTCGTGTAATTTAAGGGAACTGAAACAACTGAATGCTTTTCCACATTGTTCACAGGCATATGGTTTTTCTCCAGTGTGAATTCTTTCATGTAATTTAAGGGAACTGAAACAAGTGAATGCTTTTCCACATTGTTCACATATATAAGGTTTCTCTCCAGTATGAGTTCTTTTATGCCTGTGACAGGAACTAGAGTCACTGAAAGCTTTTCCACATTGCTTACAAACATAGGGTTTCTCTCCAGTGTGAGTTCTTTGATGTCTGATGATATGACTGGTTTGACTGAATGCTTTTCCACATTCCTTACATATATAGGATTTTTCTCCATTGTGTATGCCTTCACATATTTTAATGTAACAGAAAGAACTAAAGGTTCTTCCAAACTCCTTGCATACAGAGGGCTTCTCTCTAGTATGAGTTTTTTCATGATATTTAAGGGAAAAAGAATAACTAAAGGCTCTACCACAATGCATACATACATATGGTTTCTCTCCATTGTGAGTTCTTCCATGGGTTCGAAAGGAACTCAAATAACTAAAGGCTTTCCCACACTGCTTACATACATAGGGCTTCTGTCCAGTATGAATTGTTTCATGTAATTTAAGGGAACTGAGACAACTGAGTGATTTTCCACATTGTTCACATACATAGGGCTTCTCTCCAGTGTGACTTCTTTCATGTACTTTAAGGGTACTGAAACAACTGAATGCTTTTCCACATGGTTCACATACATAGGGTTTCTCTCCAGTGTGAGTTCTTTTATGTCTATAAAAGGAACTAGAGTCACTGAAGGCTTTCCCACAATCTATACATACATAGGGTTTTTCTCCAGTGTGAGTTCTTCCATGTTTTCTGAGGGAACAGGGAAAATGAAAGGCTTTTCCACACTGCTCACATACATAAGGTTTCTGTCCATTGTGAGTTTGTTCATGTCTTCGCAGGTGACTCAAAGAAAAGAAGGCTTTTTCACATTGCTTACACCCATGGGGTTTCTTTCCATTGTGATTTTGCTCATGTCTTCCCAAACTACTGAAACAACTAAAGGTTTTCCCACACTGCTGACATCCATAGGGTTTTCTGCCACTGTGAACCCTTTCATGGTATCGAAGAGTACTGTGATTATTGAAGGCTATACCACACGGTGTACATATATATGGTTTCTCTCCAGTGTCAATCCTTTCATGTATTGGAAGGGAACCAGGACAAGTTAAGATTGTCCCACCTTGCATATGTTCATGTTGTTCCACTCCCATTTGAGTCTTTTCATGCTCCTGCAAGGACTGGTAATAAACAACAGACTTCTCATATTGCTGATATTCATATGGTTTATGTCCAGTTTGAGATCTGAAAAGCACATCTGGTGATGAATCGTCAATGAGGAGTTCTCCACACACAAAGCTTTCACCTGGTTTTGCGCCAGGAAGAGTTGTATTGTTCTCAATATAATGTGGAGTTTGGCTGAAGATGTCTCCATGTTCACTACCTTCACAGAGTGTCCCTAATACTTGACTTCTGGAAAAAAATGAGAAGTATATCATTAAGCTTTTGTTTCTTTATGGCTTATAAGGAAAAGTATTGGTTTTATGTCCTATAATTTTTGAACATGAAATGATACCACGCAGAGCTGGGTTTGTGGCTCAGAGGCAGAGTACTCGTCTAGCACACGCGAGGCCCTGGGTTCGATCCTCAGCACCAAATAAAAAATAAAGATATTGTGTCCAACTAAAAACAATATATATATATATATATATATATATATATATATATATATATATATATATTTTTTTTTTTTTAAAAATGATACCATGCACTATGGTATGGGTCAATCACAAATATCATTGAAGTAGGGTTAGTGGGGTTTTGCTTGTTTTTTTTTTTTTTTTGTACTAGGGATTGAACCCAGGAACTCTTTACCAGAGCTACATCCCCAGCCCTTTTTAATTTTTTATTTTGAGACAGGGTCTTACTAAGTTGCTTAGAGCCTCACTAAAATTCTGAGACTTGACATTGAAACCGTGATCCTATTGATACAGCCTCCCTAGTTGTTGGGATGATAGGTGTGTGCCACCCTACCAGGCAAAATAGTGATGTTATAATGCAAAAATCTTAATACTGTTCCTAAATAAACTATTTGGCCAATACTGAATATAATATCACAATTAAATATGGTTCATTACTCCTTATGTGAATTGATGGGGATCAAAAGCATCTGGATTTTGAAACATTTGCAAATAAAGAAATATCCAGGGAGTTAGCTCAAACACAAAATTTACTTTAATATCATAAACACTTCGTACCTAAACTCAAAGGAAATTTAATACAACATTTTTGATACTTTTGTGCATGGAACAAAGTCTCTCTAGGTGGACCCATCAGAAAAGTATCACATATGACAATATGAGTGCCAGATATGTTTCTAATGCTGGAACATTTTGAATTTCTGATTTTCTGATTAACAATACTAACCTGAATAAAAGTCAAGGAAAATTTCCTTAAATCAAATCAATTTAAAGCTGTGTTTATTTGCATTGTTTGTTTTTTAAAATTACTTGTCATTACAACATTCTTGAGCAACATTGCTTTCTCCTAAATATAGATTACCTTAGATGTTTCCCAGGATTTTTGTATGCATCCTCATTGGTCTGGCTGTCTCTTTCTTTTCCTAAAATGTAAACCCAGTAAATCAGTATGAATTAGTAAACACTATAGAAACCTTATTACATTCTAGTTAGGTTCATTGTGTATTGTGACCACACCTAGTCTAACAACTAAATATTTCTTTTACATATTCCATATCACGTAGTAGCCCTCATAAGGAAGAAACACTTTATTTCTGATAAAATAATTAAGAGAATGATGTCATCCTTACCTAGAGAGGCCAGACACCTGAAGGTTTCCTGCATCACATCTTGGTAGAGCTTCTTCTGGGAGGGATCCAGCAAAGCCCACTCATCCACAGTGAAGTTCACTGCCACATCCTCAAAGGTCACCAACTCCTAAATTATCCCACATATATTTCCAAGAGGAAGGGTAAGACTCAGTACCAGAGATGGGAAATCATTTCATTAAAATTTGACATGATGTTGTATTCCTCAACATTCACTTCATATCATCACTCTCTAATTCCCTATCCACACTCATCTCCTCTCACACAACAATTCTATACTAGTCCGGAACTTAACAGCAGGATAGGAACACACATTGTGCTCCTGGGTCACACCAATATCTTATTATGCAGTGGGGTTGTAATACCTCTCAGAACAAAATCATGAGTGCATCCAAGACAGTAAGCACCACCTGTCCAGATACTGCATATACTGCATATCCTTTTTAAAAAAATATATATTTTTTGTTGTCAATGAACCTTTATTTTTTTTTTTTAGTTGGAAACAATACCTTTATTTATTTATTTTTATGTGGTGCTGAGGATCGATTCCAGGGCCTTGCACATGCTAGGCGAGCGCTCTACCTCTGAGCCACATCCTCAGCCCTGGACCTTTATTTTTTTTTTCTTTCATTTATATGCAGTGCTGAGAATCACATGCTAGGCAAGCGCGCTACCACTAAGCCACAACCCCAGCCCACTGCATATTCTTATATATGCCTGAGAGAAATATGAGAGTACATGCCAACAATGTGTTCTCATTCATAATCTGTTGTACCTCTGAATGTTTCCAATATTCAGAATGGTCATCAGCCCTCCAAGTACATTCTGGATGAAGAATCTCTAAGGAATTGGTCTGACAGGTACAATTTACACCACTTGTCACAACTTGCTTGTTAGTACAATACCAGAGGATGTGTTCTAGTCCCTAAGAGACAACCTTTGGAAGCTTGTACATTGTTTCTTACAAAACAACCTTAAACACTAAATAAGCCTCATAGGGGCTGGGGATGTGGCTCAAGCGGTAGCGTGCTCACCTGGCATGTGGGGGGCGCTGGGTTTGATCCTCAGCACCACATTAAAAAAAAAAAAGAGATGTTGTATCCACCGAAAACTAAAAAAGTAAATATTAAAAAAATTCTCTCTTAAAAAAAACTAAATAAGTCTCATGAAGAATAATTCACTATGCTAATGGAAAACACTTTTTATTGGACAATGTCCAAGAGCAACTGAAATACAAGAAATGATAGCACATGAATATAGAGTTCAATGTCTTCAAGATATCTCACATACATTAATAAAATTCTTAATTCCCAAAGCTCACTTTTTATACATTAACTAGTCAGCAAAAACCACTTTCCTCAATTTAGTAGGTATAATCAATGCCCAACAATCATTGGAACTAGAAATTAATTTAAAATTAATTCAATGGGACTGGGGATGTGGCTCAAGCGGTAGCGCGCTCGCCTGGCATGCGTGCGGCCCGGGTTCGATCCTCAGCACCACATACAAAGATGTTGTGTCCGCCGAAAA